GTGCTGGCAGCCCCCGGCACGGGCACGGCGCGGGGGGGGGGGGGGGGCACGGGAGGCCACTGTAGCCCGGCAGCCTGTTGTCCCTGAGGCACTGCCGGGGGTGCAGAGCTGCGGGCGGGGGCCTGGCGCAGGGCGGTGCTGCCCCTGCTGGGTATTTCCGCCTGGGGTTTGGGGAGCTGAGCGTGAGCCCGTCCCACAGACCGAGCCGGGGCCGGCAGGGAGCCCTGCTCACTGGGCTCGTGCATGCAGGGTCCTGGAGCTGAGCATCTCCTTCCCCATGGAGTCGGAGCTCACCGTTTCCATATTCGACCACGACTTGGTTGGCTCGGACGACCTGATTGGGGAGACGAAGATCGACCTGGAGAACCGGTTCTACAGCAAGCACCGGGCGAACTGTGGGGTGGCCTCCCAGTACGACACGTACGTCCAGCCGCTCCCTTCCCCCACGGCTGCCGGTGCTGCACGGGGGCGGGTTGTGGAGCCACTGGTCCACAGAGCCACGCAGGAGCACGCTGGCCACCTCCGAGGGGTCGGGACTCTGCCACCTGGCGTAGAGCCACGTGTGTATGGCCACGTCCGGCCACTCGACAGCCAGATTCCCCAGGGCGACGCCTGCTGGCCTTCCTTCCGCTGCTTCATTGGCCCCCGGCGCCCCGGGCCGGGAGAGTCGCCTGCGACTGCCTTGGGCCCAGGAGGGGAAGGGATTCATAGTCTCGTGATTGGCCAGCAGCTTGCTTCATAACCGTCCCTGGGCGCCTGCAGGGAGGGCGTCTCCGTGCTCTGGCAGCCCGTCCTGCGGGAGCGCCTGCGCGGCAGCGCTGGGACCCCAGGGGACGTATTCCCTGCGCGGCTCCACCAGGGAGAACGGGGTGTCTGACACTCCCCCCTCCCCACAGCGACGGCTACAACGTGTGGCGAGACGCGTTCAAGCCCACCCAGATCTTGGAGAGTTTGTGCAAGAAGAGCTCGCTCCCCTCCGTAGAGTACAGGCGGGAGGAGGTCAAAGTCAACAGCAAGATCTTCAAGGTGCCGCCTGAAGCTTTCCCGGCAGGTACCGTGTGTTATTTGGTGTGGCTCAGGCCCCCTCTCCTCCCTGACCACACCCAGCGCTCAGCTGCACAGGCCACACAAGACAGTGTGGTCCCTGAACCCCCTGCCTGGCTCGGGTGAGCAATCGCTCTGGTGCGCTTGTCCATTGAATACGCCAGGGCCTGGCGACCGTATCTCCCTGTGCTGGGTACAGGAGCCCTGGTGAAACGACAGTACTCGGCTCTACGCATGTTCTCCGGCCACCACCGTGCAGGTCTTCAGAGTGCGCTGAGCGGCCTGCGCCCTGCTGGAACGGCACAGCGTGGAGTTGGGCGCCTTTTATTTAAGGCTTTAGGGGTCACGTGGGATGGGAGGACCCCCAGCCAGGTCACATGGGATGGGAGGACCCCCGGCCAGGTCACATGGGATGGGATGACACCCCCCTCCGGCCCCACACAGGACACACATGCGCGCTCACACGTGCCCACACGCACACACACACACTTCCCCCCCCCCCAAACCCCACAGAGCCTTACTCTGAACCCCCTCTCACACAGGGACACAACCAGCTCTCCCTGTCAGTGCTCTCTGCCCTCCGTGCCTTGCCAGGCCCCGGGACAGACCCACCTCTCCTCCCCCCGGCGCTGCCCCGCCCCACAGCAACATGGGGCAGGCTCACGCTTCAACGCAGGGCTCTGCCAGGGCTCCCATCGCAGTGTGGCCAGCAGCAGCCTCTGGGCAGGGAGGGGGTGGGAGCTCTTCCAGCCCCAGGGGAGGGGCGTGTGGGGCAAGGGGTGACCTGCCCGTCTCTGCAGAGCCCCTCTCCTCACTCCACCACTCTCTGGGGCAGGAAGCGGCTTGTCCTGTCCTGCTGGCAGTCGAAAGGCACTGAGGGAACCCAGCCTCCCCGGCTAGTGTGGGCAGGGAAGGGTCGAGCCCCCAGGATGCCTGGTGCCCCAGGGAACTCCTGCAGCCCGCAAAGGGAGCCAGAGAGGGCTCAGCAGGGCAGTGCTGGAGGACGGTCCGGCCCGTGGTCCCTGGACAGAGCCAGGCACGGCAGGGTGACGAGGGGCTAAGCCCCTGCCATGAGGGCTGTGGAGCCTGCCGGTTCAAGGCTACGCGGGCCGGAAACTGCTTCTCCCTCCCCTGCTCCTGGCTTCCCCAAGCCCGCAC